AGCAGGAAGGGGAATGCTGCTTAGTGGTCAGCATAGGCCAAGCCTCTTGCTAGTATTTTCTTTCTGCTCTGTCAAACAGCACATCTGTAGCAGAGAATCTAGTTCAGCCTGCAATCCTGAAGTTAAGAACTGTATTACAGGGCATGTTGAGGCCACTTGAGTTGTATTAGCAAAGTTTCCTAAATACTCGAGAGGTAATTACTCTGCATTCGAGATGGCTCAATCAAATTCTGATCTATTACTCTAGTCAGTGTCCCTTGTAGTTACAAAGGGTGTAACTCTATCTTCACTGAAACAGTATACTACATAAGATTGGGAAGCATTCTTTCCACAGTTTGCAGAGAGTTTTTCTCTTTTCACTATCTTTCAGAGTTTGTAGGGACTGAATACATATGACAACACTTAAATCTCTAAGGAAAAGTATATGTCTACAAGCTATGCTCAAAAAGCTCTTTGATGGAAGAAGAAGCCCTATTGCAGATTTTATTTTCTTCAGAGAAAACACACTGGGAGTTTGCAGAACTACTAATATTTTTAAGTAAAAGGTAACCCAATTAAAACAGAAGAGTTGTGCAGCAAAGGGAATATAAAGAGCGTGTAAGTTACGAAGATCGGTGCTGGGGACCTTCTGCATTATCATGCTGGAGTGGAAAGCTGCATTATGAGCATAAACTCTCATTAGAATTTCACTCCAATATTGAGGTAAAAAAAAAAAAGAGGTCACACAAGCTTGACTTTGAGAAGTCATTAAGCTGAACAGCTTATACGAGACAGCTGAAGCTGGGACAAGTGATTTTTCACATCTCTGCAGGAGCTTGCAGTCTAGCAGAGTGTCTCTCAGGCAGAACAAAAGTCACATGTTGGTACATACCTTTAGAAAAAGTTGAAAGCTGAGATTCTCTGCAGGATGCCTACTGACAGTATAAAAACACAGCAGGAAAAGAAAACATGCAGAATTAAGAAATTAACAGTACAAAAATTTGAAAATGCAGAAGAAAAGCACTACCAACGAAAGAAAGAGAGTTGACCCTAACATCTGAGTTGTTCAGCGCAGCACCTTCGTTCCCCAACATGCTACAAAAATCACCCCAAGCCATGCTGCGAGGTAGCACAGCTTTAATGCCTGTGCCTGCCCACGACATCCTGAGGTTTGAAGGGACAAAACTCCACCTAGTGAGGAGATGGGCTGTACTGCATTCAGCATTCAAGTGAAGTATGAATGCATTTCAGTGACAAGTCTTTGGAAGGTAACAAACCCTATAGCATTACACTGCCCTGGTGTTGATAAGGCCTCCCCTATCTACCCAAAGTTCCAGTAGGCTAGCATACAGCCTCTCCTCAATTTGGATCAGATACAATGTGGAGAAACATCTTCTTCCAACTTCACCTTATTAAGCCACACACTGACTTTCTAAGAATGTAACTGAGGTGACACTCCTTGGCTTTCATCACCTCCCTGCCTCTTACATCTCCTTCACAAATGACTGACCTGAAGCTCTTTGACTTCACTGGAAATTAGTGGACTTGAACTTTGAACCCACATCCCCTTTCTGATAATGTAGTAAAACCAGAAATACACCACCAGTGTTGTATGTCCAAAAGTTTTAATACATGGTCCTCACTGTTCAGAGAAGTTATTGCATTAAATTCTAATACGTAAATTCATATGAATTTAAAAAAAAAAAATCTTCATTTTACACATCACAATTTTTTCACAGCAGCTAAAGGAAACTAGATTATATATGCAATTGTCTCAAAACAAAAAAAAAAATACAACTAGTTCTTCTCCAAATCAACAAAACTGCTATCATATTTATTATTCAGTAGTTACTGCAAATCCTAACTTGAACAATACTATCCGCACAAGTGTACAGCTCAGGAAAAGCAAGGTGCCATTCCAAATTACCGCCTGCAAATCTGACATAGATTGAACCACGACTCTCAGCATGAGTTGACTTTTTCTGTTCACCGAATTAACATACAAAGTGTGTTTAATTTAATTGCACACAATTTTCCTTAAGTGATCGTTTTTATTTTGACTTTAACAGACTCACAAGTCAGAAAATATCAATGCTACCTACAGCAGTTTACACAAATCCACACTTGTGTTTGAATTGTGACAGGCACGTGAACATGATATTTGATCACCCAAAGGAAAGGCCAGATTCCCTGATCCATTAAAATCAACATCTCCGTAAGCCCACTGCTCCATGGATGACAGCAGAGCCAAAATCAGCAGGCCCTGCATGCCATAAATTGATGGAGTGGTGACAGAGGCATAACAGAGCACGTGGCAGAATTACATTCTACATTTCATCCTCTGATGAGGAGGATAAGATGTGCTACACCAGCTTGCAACAGAAGCATGAAAAGGGCTCTCCTCCTATTCAGTCTTATGCCAGAGCTGGGAATTGGGAAACTACAATTCAGCTTCTTGCACAAAATCCTCAAGCATCACAATAATCAGTCGTGAGCTGCAGTTCCACAGCTTAAACTTCCCCTGAACAACAAAAAAAAAAAATTAAAAATTACATAGGGCTCACCTGTACCTATTCTGTGCTCACAAGATGCTTTCTTCTGCTGTAACAAAAACAGTAAAATGCACCTTTCTTCAGAGAAAAAAAAACCTTCCCTTCTACCTCTCCTCCAAAATACCCATCATTATGGAGAGCTTATAATCCACCTGAAAATATTTCTCAAATTAAGTAAGGCCAGGTTGCATTCTTTGCCCACTTTAAACAGATGACAGAGAATATTTTGATATTCTGATATCAAAAATAGTTAATTACTTAAATAACGCCTGTGCAGCTCTCTCTTGGAAATAACACGTTCACACAAGTTCTGACTCTCACTGTCCCTGTACCTTAAAACTACAGCTATTTCAGTGGTTTTCAATCAGTTTTAGCCGAGAGCACCAGCTTACCCTTTAAAACCATTTTGTACATTTTCTTCTGTAATTTGCTAGCAAAAGGTTCAAACACTGGAGAGCAAGTGAGCAGTCAGTAGGATGCTTTGCAAAATCTGACAGTTCAAAAGGCATCCAAAGAGCAGCAGAAGAAAACCTAGCCACTAAAGTGAAAACTGCATTGAACAAGCATTGAGAAAACAGGGAGAAATGAAGAAGCTCCAAGATAAGCAGTTATGCAGAATGTTTTACTAGTGATATCTTTTGTTTGTTCAGGCAGTAACAAGGCATTCATTACCATGACACAAATTGCAAAAGCTTTCATCTGAAAGTGCAAGAGGAATAGGAAACTCAATTATTCCACTTAAGAACACTTACTGAGAGTCTAACACAAGGCTGCTTAGCTGTAACATGATTTCTCACAGTTAAGGAAGTCTGCACTAAAGGAGAAGTTTACACAGCTTAGAAGATGATGCTGACAGCTTTCCAAAGCCAGCCTTTACACAAGACAGCTTATTTTATTTTCAGGGACTGCCACAGTCTAAACCCAGCTGGCAATAAGCACCGCACAGCCAGTTAAACCGACAGAGACACATACCTAATGAGATAGCCATCACCATTCCATCCAAACAAACAGCACTTGCATAAACTCCCCTCATCTACATTGGAGATCCCAACCAAATACAGACCCTGTGTTTTCTGCAAAAAACATAGTTCTTCTTGGTTATTGCTGTATTACAGGAAACAATACTAATATTTGCAGGAGAGACAGAGTGTGTATTTTCAAGATTGCATCACTTACAAAAAGCTTTACACCCAGTCTCCATCTTGTGCTGCTTCTGTACAGCAAAACTAGCATTCTGTTCCTTCCAAATGAAACAGTACCTTCAGACCCTCTCCCTGCCCTGCACATCTCAAGACCATTTATGCCTCTTCAATATGGTTTCTATGAGTAAATAATGGCCCATAATGCATTTATGACAGCACCTCAAGAAAGAGTGCATACTTCACCAAATGGACTCAACCCCAGTGAAGTCCATGAGAAAAAAAGGAAGGGGAACACAAAGGGGAAGGGAAAAAAGTTATTCTCACTTGTCCTCTGAAGGGAACAAATGTTTCTGACAGCAGCAGGTTTATTTTCAGAGAGCTGCAATGTAAGCCAACAGGCCAGCTTATTAAATAGAAGACACCCCTTCACGCAAACACAAAAACCTATACAAAAAACATTCTTAATTTAGATATGCCTCTGAAATTAATGAAGAGAATTTGAATGTTGAAGAAACTGAAGAGTCTGCTTTGCTCCCAAACAAATCAGACTGTGCAAATCTATGTGTTTATCTGCAGTGCTGAGTCACATCTGGGTGGTGGACATGCCTCATCGAATACCACACCCTGGGAGCATTTCAGCACTTCCCCTCCTACCAGAACACTCCCTTAAAAAAAATTCCTACAGCGACATGATGAGAAGTGATCTTTTCCTGCCATATGGTGTACATATATTTAAGACTTTTACAAACATTTGGCCAAAAATTGTACAGGATAGTATTTCCCAAGCCACAAACACTACACAAACCATTCTTACAGGATATGCTCTCGAAGGACATGTGACCTTGACCTTACTTCTCCCTCCCCTACCCCCATTCACCAAGAAAAGCATTGCATCCTTGCAGGCTTTGATTGGAAGTCTTCAGCTTCTGTAATGCAGCAGTTAGACTTCTTCATTTTGCAGGGACTCAAAAACCCATTTAGTTCATATATTCAATATACAGCGTTTTCAGTAAGTGCTTTCACGCTCCGTTCATAAGAACAGTTAGGTCACTTCATTCACACCACAGAGGTGGTACTTTCTGGATTTACACGCATCAATCTTGAAGCATTTCTCAGATCCTGTAGCTGCTTGGCTGGCTTTCCAACTCCTTCCTCAAATCTTTTTTCCACAACAGGAAGGACAGTTTCATACAGGAAGGATGCATTTTGCCTAATGAAGGCTTTCTTCTCAGGGTCCTGTTCACACCGTAAACTGTAGTCAACATGCTGGACAGCCACCAGTATGATTTCCACAAGACTCTCCAAAAGAACCATATGCAGCTCTGGAAAGTAAAGCTTTAATGCTTCCTCCAAGAAGGCCATAGTCTGCTTAGTGAAAGCTACTACAGTATAGCTAAGGTTGACCCAGCAGTCATCACCTGTGTACTGGTCAAAATTGCCTACCCCGCAGCTCCTCATCTCCTCCCGGAGCTTCCCCAGTGCCTCCGGAGTCATTAGGTTCATCCTTCTCCACATCTCCTCAGAGTTGCGGTGCTTGGTGGCCTCGATGATGATATCTTTGTAGCTCTGTAAAGCACCTTTGATATCCTTCACCAGAAGGGCGTGAATGATGAAGGTGAGATCCAGTCCAATCTCACTAAGCTGCTTGCAGTGCTCTTTAGCTACCTTGGGTATTAACAAAAAGCAAAGGGTGTTACTGGTGGGCAGGCCCACTTTTACCTCTTACACATTTACCAAATTTATCATTCTCAGAAGAGGGGGAAGTGTTAGTCATACTTCACTTATTTCTCCTGCTTTAAGAAATTCCTTATTAATGGTATATTAATAACTGAAAGATAAACCCTGCCTGTCAAAAATACCCTGGACAATTACCACACACACACACTTTTTTTTTTCCTGATAGCAGCTGAAAGAAACCATAACCTGAGAAAGTTAGTTTTGCAAAAAAAATATGGAAATGGAGTCCAGGACAGGCTTGGAAAACAAACAAAAAGTCTCCAAAACACTCATCATTCAGAGGTAGCTTATGTAAATTTTAGGACCTCCTACCGGTTAAAGGCAAATTAAGAATAAACATATATTACATTTCTGATAAAGGCAGGCTTTTTCTTGATGTGTTTTTTCATCTTAATGGTCTCCTCTGTTAAACTGAAAAAAACACAAACCGACCCAAAATTAATATTAACCTTTTGATGCAGGAAAGCCCTCCGGAGACCCATGCGAGAGCCAACAACTAACCTACAGTTAGAAAAGAGGATTTACAAGCTTTGCAGCCTGTGTTTGGGCCATCATGTCGCACCACCCTCTTTGGACCCTCTTACCTTGACGCACTCTGCCGCAGTCGACAAGCTCTCTTTACTATCAAATACTTGCTTACTGAAGGCATCTACAAACATCCTCATGGACGAGCGGGCCCAGACAACGAAGGCCGAGTAGCAGCCGTTGTTGCCAGCGAAGTCTGTCTCAAACTCTCTCGCCGTCTCTAGAAGGCTGGTGAAGAAGACGTGGCAGAGCTTGTGGATGTAGAGCAGCGTGGCGCCCTCGATGCGCAGCTGTCGGATGGCCGTCTGCACTGCAGCTGCCCGGTTCTTCAGGAAGAGCTCACAAGCCTTGGTGGACTGGCCCAAGCGAATGAGCTGGGACACGGCTCGCCGGGTGGCCCGCGGCCCTCCTCGCAGGGAGCGGTCTGGAGACAGCTCAAACACCAGCACGTCTGTAAGCTGCCGGACCCGCTCATCCACCTTGGCCCGCAACTCCTTCACAGGCTGGCTCACAGGCTTGTCCCTCAGGTACTCATTGAGTTTATCTAAGAGGTCCACCGCCCCCTCGAAGTCCCGCTGAGCGATGCAGACATCCAAGTCCTCTGGCAGCTCCTGGATCCATTCAAGTGAGAGGTCAACCACCTCCTCCTCAACAGAGTGCTCTTCCTCCTCCTCATCATCCTCCTCAAAGGGGTTGGTGGATTCAGGGGGTGTCAGGGCAGGCCGGGGCAGGGCCTCCTGCTCTAGGCGTCGCTTCTCGCTGAGGGCCCGGGTGCGCTTGGTGTTTCCAGCCCCCCCAGCCACTCCTTCTTGATCTTGGCGTTTTCAGCCTGGAAGATGCGGCTCTCGGGGAACATGAGCAGCTTGAACATGTCCTTCATGGGCGGGTTGTCCTTGACATTGACCACGGCCAGCCCATCGAGGGGGTACAGGGCGTCATAGCGGTAGGCGCCGCGGCGGTTGGGCAGGGCAGTGGCGACCAGCAGGCAGTCGTTCATGAGGAAGGCGTGCACCCGCTGGATCTGCGCCATGTGGTCGGCGTCGTACTCCACCAGGTCCCCGTTGTAGACCAGGTACTTGCCGGGGCTCTCAGGCAGGAGGTCGCGGCAGCCCTCCACCTTCTCCAGGAGGGTGGTGAGGGTGCGCTG